GAGATGGAGTGCACTAGGTCAGGATGCAGGGATGGATGAGGGAACTGGATGCTTGGGCCTTCTCCTGCTCTTCTCTCTTCATAAGCCTGATGCATAGTTGGTGGATTGAAGATGGGAGAGGGGAGGAAGAGAGATAGGGCAGAAGCTTTCAGACCACACTTCTCAGAAAATGGGAGCTGGCCTTTGGGATTCTCCTTATCTCAAAGACAGACCACCCTAACCTAGACTTTCCTTCAGCCAAACTGGGTGTATCTGTGGCCCAGCCAAGGTCATTTCTGTGTAAGTTTATTAATCTTTCTTATATCTCTCACTGTGCCTACCAATGAAGCACTTCAACACACTATCACCACTTGGTAAGGAGGGTCCTAGCTGAGGCAAGCGTACTGGGCATGCAAAGGTCAGGGGAAGTGTCACCAAAAGTCATAGTTTAAGCTCTGCCTCATATAGTGGCTTAGAAATTGACAAGGCTACCAGGTGTAGTGGTGTATGCCTGTGATCCCAGCTACTCAGGAGGTAGAGATGAGAGTATAATGCATACCTGTAATACCAGCTATTTGAGAGGTGAAAGGAAGAGAATCAAGGTCTGAAGCCAGACCAGGCAAAAGTGCAAGCCCCTATCCGAAAAACAAACTAAAAGCAAAAAGACTAGGAGGTGTGGCTCAAGTGGTAGAGTGCCTGCCCCCGCCCCCGCACCTCCCCACACACACCAAAAATATAAAGTTGAAAGGCAAATGCGTATCAGGGACCAGAATGCGCAAAGACATAGAAGTATGAGTGCCTGAGGCCCTTGGGACATTTGAGGACAAAGGTGAACACTGAGACTGGAGATTTGGGGACTAGATTGTGGAGGATCTAGGTGCCAGGATACAGGGCTGGGACTTTGCCAGAAAGTGATGGGGGCTGGCGGAATGGCTCAAGTGGTAAAGCGCCTATCTAACAAGCATGAGGCTCTGAGTTCAAACCCCAGAACTGCCAAAAATAAAAGTGATGGGAAGCTCAGAAAGATCATTGAGTAGTAGTGAGGGGATGTGGTCTTACTTATATGCCATAAAGGTCTTTCTGGATGTAAATAGAAGGAGCCCAAGGGAAGAGAATGAAACACAGAAAGAGCAGGTTTTAGGCTAGTAAGACTGAACCCACAGCCCATTCACTGAGCCACAGACAGGGCTCTCTATAATCCTAAAACTACTGACAGAGTTTTCATAAATCTTTATCAGTGGCTCTCTTCCCCGATCCTACAACTTGTTTTTGGATTAATCCTCTGACACCATTTTCCAGGAAATAAACTGTGATCCAGTATTAATTCATGGGCCTTTTTTGGCTGGAAGACAGACTCAGAGCTTCATACCTACCACAGATGCAAGACCATGCAGGATGTCATAAATGAAGCTTGCAGTATGCAGGGGAGGCAGCAAGCCCTCTTGAAGAGGCCTGTTGTCTGAGCCTTGCCAACAGCTGAAGAGATAAGAACCTGCAACTGTGGCCACAGGAAATGACAAAGCAGTGACTGATCAGGGAACCACTGCACAGGGCTCATTACGGGGCTTGCCAGCAGGCGAGACACCCTTATCAGGGAGAAAATTGCATCAGGCCTCCTGAATTACTAGCGATTGGAAGCAGATTTCTTGGGACGCACTTTGTTAGATACCTAATGAGCGGGATACAGGAGAGCAGCGCCCAAAGCCAGCAGGGCGGGGGACAAATGTCTTTGTTAAACAGAATTTGTCAGTTTCCGCTCCAGGCTCCCTGGGGAGGGTTCAGGGCCAGCTAATTGAATTAAGAGCATGTGCTCTCCGGCAAGAAGGCTCAGGGCGGGGCGAGAGGCGGGGCGGCCAGAAGGCGGCACTTTCAGCACCAAGGACAGCAGCTGCAGCCTGGCTACCCTGTAATTGCCAGGGCAGGCAGGAGCTGTTGCATTTTGCATGATTAGGGATCTAGGGGACGCAGGAGGTAGGAGGGAGGCAGAGCATGTTGGGGGTAGGGGAGAAACAGGTGACCTAAGAAGCTGCAAGCCTGGAATGCTATTGGCCTGCTCTGTCCCATCAGACCCGGCTCTGCTGGCAATAGGACTAGAAGGCAGGAGGAAGGGGCACCTCTCCACCGTGGTGTGGGCAGGTGCAACAGCACGAGGGGCAGTGGGCTGGCGCTGAGTCTGAGCTAGCACATGGCCTTGCATCGCTTTGAGCTTTCAAAGTCAGTCTCCGATTACGGCCCTAATGAAGCAGGATGTGCTGCAACCACGGAGGTACAAAGTGAGGGCCACTTGTCAGCCCCAAGCTGCCCCAGCAGGCAGGGCAGGGCCTGCCAAACAGTAAAGCAAACAGACTTGTGGTGTGGGCCAGCAGCTGCCATCCCGCCTGGAAAAAAGAGGGAGAGCAGTGCAAGGTGAGGCCGGAAGTTCATCTCCGGGGTTTCACCCTCTCCCATTCTCCAGCAGCCCAGTCCTTCCCACTCTGTGTTTCTTTAGCCCTTCCTCAGGACAGTTCCTTGCCCACCAGAGACTGAAGGGTTGAATGTGCTGGTCTAGAGAGAGGATTGGTTTCATTTTAAATTTATCTCTGTGTTCCACCAACACAAACCTGATGAGTACCTGAGTTCTGGCCAGGGGCTCAGTGAATGTCAAGTCTGGGTCACAGCTGACCCAGCTGGTACTGGTGCCACACAGAGTGGATGTCAGGGAAACAGGCCGTGGGGGAGGGGACTCCCTCAGCAATTGTCCCTGCTCTCAGTAATGATGGGGGCACCTCTGGGGACCTCCCTGATTTCATTACTTCTACTTCCTCCTCTAACTGGATTAGATGGCAGTCTATGAAATCCAGGGCATTGAGATTGGCTTTCTGCCTGGAAATGAGGAGAAATGTCTTTACAGGTCCTGAATCAGCATCTCACTCAAGCCCCAAGGGCCACCTGGTCAATGGGGAGGTGGTCTTTGTCCTGGCTAGTTATTTCCTTCATTCTTCCATCCATCCATCCAAGATACATTTGGAAGTTGTTCCACTGCAGCCAATCTGGTGTTCTGAAATCTTGAGCAGGAGAAAGATGTGGTACTTTTTCCTATCCAAAACACACAGATGACCAGAAAACCCCAAACCGTCTGACTCAGATGCCGCACTGGATACATACATGAAATAAAAGGTTCTGTGCCATTGGGAAATCTCTAAATGAATCTTGACTATTGCTATCAAGAGGAGCAGGTAGGAGAGACAGCCGGCCCTGATTGTTTGTGGACAAAACAAGCTCAGATGCCTCGGCCAGGACATGTAATAGGTGGCCTGCCAAAGTCAGCCTCAGGGCCACCCAGTGCATCCGTCTTTCCATTCCAAGAGTCTTTTTTTTTTTTTTTTTGTCTTGTTTCTTTTTTGATGCTGGGATCGAACCCAGGGCCTCGTGCATGCTAGGCAAGCGCTGTACCACCAAGGTACATCCCAGCCCCTCCAAGAGTCTTTTTATAGCTGCTTTCTCTTTGGAACTTTGTTTTTGCACTCATTCAAGGGGGAAAGAATTGAAACCTGGAACGAACTGGATGATTCTGTATTTTGTGTCTAGTGACACAAGCCTAAAAGGCTTCATGTTAATGTTTTTCTGCACACCAAATTTTATAGCACACAAAGGAATCATTTAGAGGATCTCAGTGGTAAAGTGAATAATCCCTGTCTCAATTCATCTAGTTGGTATGTGTGCATTCTCACATACAGGGCACCCACCTAGAGAGGGCCACCTGCGCTCATTCTCTCTGGATATTCAGGCCAGACACTGCGGCACCTCACACCCTGAGCACATCTGTCCTGCTTGGCACTGTGCCCACTGCCCTATTTGCTTCTAGCACAACACTCTAGGCAGTGGAATCATGTGTCTGCTGTGCAGCCAAGAGAGGATTCCACCAGCTGGGATGGATAGGACGGGGTCCCCCTTAGGTCCTACAAACCCTGACACTATATGATTGTTTGTACAATGGGCAGATTTTAGAACTTGCTTCAGATTTCTGACAAGTTTTACAGTGACCTCTCCCCCAAAAGGAACACAGACATATCCCTAAGGTCAAAGAACTTAAAGTTTTATCAGGAAAACAAAGCAAGAAGAGTGGAATTCAAGAGCAATGTGAAAGCACAGGTAGCCAACTGCTGGGTGGAAGAATCCAGAAAAATGGCAAGCAAGTGTGCGCTGAGGCCCCAAAGGCCGCCTGATTTCCACTAGCAGAGATGAGACTGATAGTCATGTCCAGGAGGAGAAAGGGAAATAAAAGGTGAAAGAGGCCCATCAGAGTGAACAGAGAAAAGACTCTCTGTGTAAAGGGGGTATGACTGGGGGACGATGGAGATTAAACAGGAAACAAGTCTACACAGCAAAGGGTGTCAAACAATTGGGGACTTTAGAAACTGTTATTACTACACTGTTATTACATGACCCACCATGGGGGTCATGGGTGGCCTATGTATTGAGCACACAATATTTATTGAGTACCTACAATGGGCTGGACACGGGGGATGAATAGTGTCCTTGCTTACATGGAACTCTTACATCTTAGTAAGAGAGATGGGAGGCATTGAGAGAGGGAGGCAGTTAACAAGTAAACTTACTTTTTTGAAGGTTAGTTTTCTGATAGACTATATACTACAAAAACAGTAAAATGAGTCACTGAATAAAGAATATACTGGAAGTGGGGTTACTTTAGATAAAATGGGGAGCTTCTACCTCAAAGTGCAGGGCTTCTTGGAGAAGATTGTGTCTGGGCTAAGACCTGAATGATGAGCGGGTGACACCTGTGTAAAGAGATCCAGGAGGCCCTCCAGGTAGAAAGCGTCAGATGCAAAGGCCCTGATGCAGGGAAAAAAGTGGCCTGGTGGAGCCACAAGACCGTATGGCGGGGGCCCAGGGAGCAAGGGCAGGTAGCAGGAAGTACACAGAGGCCAGGCGTGCAGGACCTCCTGAGTCATAAGCCCAGAGGTGTAGACAGGCACTGAGAAATGGCCTGTCCAAAGTCTCTCTGCATCTTTTCTTAGAGACCAGAAAACTTCTTGACTCCAAACAACAGCAAGGTTCTGCCCACCCTGGACCCCAAGATCCTAGATGAAAAGCTGGGTACCATCCGCGAGTCCTGGTCCAGGACCACTGTGAACTCTACAACGAACTCCAGCCCATCCACCTCTCAGGAAGCAGAGGAGGAGTCTCAGGTGCCAGAAATCTCCCATGATACAGTGAGTGGCCCTCTCTAGGGTTGGGGGCTGGTACGTTCATAGGGTCATGCGTGGGACTGGTTCACTCCTTAGGTAGCAAGTGCCCTGCTCGTTAGGCACACTCCATATGTGAGTTTCCCCAAGGACAAGCTGGTGGAAGGTGTGGACTCTTCCTTTTATGCTTCCTGTCTTTTGAATGGAACCGTCATGTGATTTCTTTTGAAACAAACCCCTATGACACTTGTAAGCCAGGGTCCCATTTATTCAAGTCGTCTCCAACACAAAGCCCCTCAGAATATGTTATCTGAGCTGTGAGAAGCCCTCTAAGAAACTTACAAGGGGTTCAGAGAAAAGAGGACATCACTTTTGGACACAGTCTATGTCCTTGATCATAGGAGCTGATATTGGGTTCACTGCTGAGTCTCTGCCCCTCTGTGCAAAGAGCTGAAAGATAACCATAGTCCCCAGCAGAGGTATCACCCCAGTCATTGCCATGGCTAACTTCATATGGGCCTCCTCCCTTCTTCCACAGCGGATCCCATGGGGAACGCTGCTCCAGAGGATCCTAAGAAAAGGCCCCAGCCAAGGTCACAAGCCTCATAGGAAGCCCAAGTCCTCTTCCTCTGAGGACCTGCCCCTCTCCACCAACAGCCTCCTCATCTACCCCTGGCACTTCTGCACCTTTCTGGAACACATGCCATCAGATGAACAGGAAGGGCTATTATCTGAGGGGTGCGCCCAAGACACCTCCCCACAGAGCGCATCTCCCAGGAGCAGGACTGCCCTGTCTGAGCCATAGCTCTCGGGTATTTCCACAGTGCCCTTCTCTCACCTCTGCCCCTTAGGGAAACAGCTCTCAGCAGCCGCCTCCAGCTCAGCCATAAATTGCATTGAAAATAAAGAAACAATCCTGTCCTGGCTGATAAGGGAAACTGTGGCTAACCAACTCCCGCCACCCCACCCCCAGAGCCTTGGCCCTGGAAACCCACCCTCCCTTTTGTGCTTCTAAGTAGGGCATTGTAGGAGAGAAAGAGGATGCTAAAAAAAACACCAGGGAAGTAAAAAAAAAAAAAAAGGTGGGGGGAGGCTGGGTGGGGCAGTCAGGAAGGAAGAAGAAAAGTGAAGGCTTTCCTCCCTGGCCACCACCAGAGACTTGCAGAGCCCTCAGGGCAATGTCTTCTGCCCTGTACACTCAGAGGATGGCAGTCAGCCAGCCAGGCCTCAGCCCTCAGTCCATTATACCCCTAATGCACCCAGAAAAAGAGAGACCTCAGTCGTGCATCACACCACTTCTGGGAGCAGGTGCCTTAAATGCCACCTGGCTGGACAAGCCTCTCATGTCTGCTGCCTAGGAAGCAGACACAGTATAACCAGAAGGGAGCAGTGCTCAGCCCTACTGCTGAGCTGTGCAGGGCTGGACTCCCTTGCTTGAAGTCTGCTGGGAAAAGCATCAAGGTCTGAGCTGAGAGCAGCAAGTCAAAAGGTCTGGATCATTTGAGAGACACAGACACAGATAACTTAACATTATGCATTTGTTTTGCAGGGGGACTGAGACTGAGACATAGAAAGGGATTGGAAAGGGTTGGGTTGGCATCTCATTGTGTTTATGAAATGTGATGAGGATGATATAATGGGAAAGAGGGAGGAAAACAGAGCACATGAGAAAAGGGCCTTTCCATATAGGATGGCTCTGATGGATGGGCAAGTTGAACAACTTTTTGAAATATTTAAAAGAAGGTTCTGATCATATGCATAGTGGACCACTTAGTCTTGACTTTCTATTAAGGATTAAACCAAGGGAGAGGGACTAACCTGAGAAATCAAGGGCAGCCATTAGGATAAACCGTCTTTGAGCAAGAGTAGCCACTGCGAATGAAAGGGAGGAAGCAAGTGGCCCAAGGGCAAAGAGGATTCTGGGAGGTTTGAGCAGAAATAAGGCGACTCAGGTTGCCTCTTACCAGCAGACTGTCAAAGATGCTGTGATTTTGATTTTAATAGAGAATAATTCAAGCATGCCTACCCTGGGCATCACCCCAGCACCCCTGTGGGCCATGTTCCAGAGAGAAGAGGGCTCCCTAGTCTTTCTGCTTTCCCTCTTGCTGGACATCTAGCAAGGCCACCAGGACTGACTGTTAGTTTGCTTTGGTTACATGCACCCAGTCTCCAGCCTTGAACCTAAGTGCACACTGGCTTCCTCGTCTCTGGGTTCTGGAGCCTTACCCAGGTCTGGTCCCACACAGGTGTTGGCAAATGCTTATTGTTGGGTAACATAATAGAACCTCTGGCTGGACAAGGAGGGCATCAGAAGGAACTTTTAAACGTACCTAAATACACCCTTCATCTTACTAAGGGTGACAGTAGGTGGTCCAGAGGGGAAGACCACACCTTCCCAAGACTTCCTGACTTCATGGCCCTATGCAGCCTAGCATCAAGCCAAGGAAACACTGGGTGGCTACAGAGGTCTGTGTGCTCAGCCAATCTGGCACCATCAGGTCCCTCAGGCACATAGTGTTCAGAGGCAGTGGGCCTGCCCCTTACCCATGCCCATCCCAGTCTGTTCCAGGTACATCCTGGCCCCTCCTGTTCCTTGGGTCTAGTCTCCATCCTTTGTTTACCTTCCCACCCCTGATTTGCTCTCCCCAACTCATCATCATATCTTGTCTCTCTCCCTTCTCCCCTCCCCCCACCCTGCATTGGGATTTACCATGCTAGATTCCCTCCACTGGTGCTTGCCCTAGCTGGGCTCTAGATCCCCAGTCTCAGGCTCCAGCTCCCACTCACAGACCAGGGCCCAGAAGGATCAGGGCAGGACCCAGCGTACATATTCCCATGGCCAAGAGAGCCCAGTTACAATGGAAGGTGGGCAGGTAGCAACAGTGTATAGTTCCATGACAATCACGGGTAGCTGTGCCACAATGGGTCACTGTTCCATAGCAACCAAACAAATTACATAGCAATGGATGAACTCATGCAAGCAGAGGCACCATGACAGGCAATCAGACATGGCCGTGGCACACAGGAGCATGGATACATAGCAATAGAGCCCAGCCACAGAATAATGTCATACCACACTGCATTGCAAGAGGATGCAATTGCGGGATGGAGTCATGGCACAGAACCTGGTGTGTAGACAGAGTTGGAGCAGCAGAAGATACTTGAGGAGGCTGGGACACATCTAGGTAGCATAGTCACGAGGTGTGTGACTCTGGGGCATGTGTCAGGAGTCATTGCCAGCAGCAGAGCCTGCAGGTAAAGCAGTGAGTGCCGTGATACAGTTGTGGTTGTGTAGTAACCAGAGTGATGCCCTCCCCCGACCTCTGCCACCCCTGTTCCATGGCCTTGGCTGTGAGCCTCTCATCCTGACCTCCCTAGCGCCTCTGTGTCTAGTCTTGTATGTGTTCCCCAGAGCCCCAAAACCATTTTGTGTCTGACTCCCTCCAGAGCCTACTTTGGCTTAACAGAAAATTGCACATTTTCTGGGGAAAGGAGCACCTTGGGGACAGAGGAGGGAGTGGAGGTGACGCTCCCTTCAACTACAGCCTGACAGCCCCCACCCACCTCCACCCTCTGCAACCCGTGAAGCTCAGCCATTTCTTCCTGTCCCTGGACACCTGGCTCTCATGCAGGCCTTTCAAGTTTGCCAGGATGGTACATAGCTTGGATGTTGGGTAGACTGCTGAGGTCCTAGGAAGGACCCCAGGCAGAGCTAAGGGGAAGTGTTGTCTCCCTTCTGAGCAGCACAAGATACCTCTTTGGAAGCAGAGGGTTCCAAGCCATCCCGAACATGGCAACTTTCTAAACATCCATGATGCAAGCTTCTCCCTTCCACCCTAGGCATCCTGAGCCTACCTCACACTGCACACCAGGGCAATAGCAAGAGAGCCGAGGGGGCTCTGTGCAGTCTCCAGAGAGACTCAGTTCCACTCACAGTCTCATGAATACCTACTGTGTTCCTGGGTTCCCATTCTCCAACCAGTCAAGAAACAAGGACTTCTGGACCTCCAGAGGGCCCAGCCCTGCATCCAGCAGTGTGGGAGGGGTCAGGAAGAGGAGGCCTAGGGCCCTGGGTGCTAAAAATTCCCCAGCAGGCAGCAGCCACCAAGATTAGCAAGATACAGAGACACAAGTGAATATTCGTGAGGGTCAAACAAGCAAGGGCCATGCTGGGGACACCTAGCAAAGCCCTCAGAAAAGGAAAAAAAAGGGCGAGAAAGGAGAAAGGAGAGAGAGGAGAAGGAGGGAAGGAAGGCTTCCTGAGGAGATATGACATGCTTTGGATGAACAGGCAGTGGTGCTCAGGGGCTATTCAAGAAGTATGCATTTGACACCCGTGGCTCATGCCTGTAATCCTAGCTACTCAGGAGGTAGAGATCAGGAGGATCGCAGTTGGAAGTCAGCCTGGACAAATAGTTCAAGAGACCCTATCTTGAAAAACCCATCACAAAAAAGGACTGGTGGAGTGGTTCAAGGTGTAGGCCCTGAGTTCAAACCCCAATACTGCAAAAAAAAAAAAGTGTGCATTTGGTATTGGTATTGTTCCAGCCCAGATATCCAGATACGCTCTTGCTCTCTCTCTCTCTCTCTCTCTCTCTCTCTCTCTCTCTCTCTCCACACACACACACACACACACACGTGCACACATGCACCACACTACCCTCTCCCTATGTTTCTGTCTCCTCTTCTGTCTTTCTCTGGTTGTTCCCATTTCTTTCTGATTCATATTCTCAATCTCTCTCTCTCTCTCTCTCTCTCTCTCTCTCATTGCCCTCCCTCCCTTTGCCTTGCTCAGAGGAGATTTGTGGCAGACCAGAGGGCCCTCATTCCAGAAGATGAATAATTGACAAGGGTTGTTTAAAGATTCAGTGGAGTTTTTCCAACCTCCCCACACTGGAATAACTCATTTCTTTCATTCCCTCTTTGAAAGCCTTTCCCCCTCCGCCCTCCCCCTTCCCACCCCAACACTCCTGCCCAACTCTGAACATAAGCTTTGCTTTCTTCTCTTTTCTTGCATCTGTGGACTA